GAAGTTTGCACCCTTGGTTCCTCGTGTCATGCTTGGCTTCCTGGCATTCTCCTGTGTGGCCCGTGGCCTGCGGACCCCACACTCAGTGGACTAATGGACTGCAACTACCCTGATACTGCCCTGGACTCTGCTCCCACGTGGAAGGGACACTCTGGTCACTGGCTCTGACTTTAGCTCTACTGAAGCCCCAGCTACACTTCTTCTGTGACTGGACCAAGAGAAATGGGACTTTGGAAACCCAGGGGTATAATCCCACATAAGTCAAGCTGAATCTCATCCTTTCCTGTGAATCTCAGAAAATTCCTTTCTTCGGGACAGGCAAGGCCCTGCCCCCACCAACAACAGGGGAGATGAGACGTGTTTTTCTCCTGTAACAGAAGCGTGTAAATGAAAGGATTGGACTCTGTCCAAGAACTCAGGAGCAGGTCATTTTTAGGGTCGGCCACTTTTCATGGTATATAAAGTTAGTGAGAAAGCAGTGCTTTGGTTTTGGAATTCAGTGCCATGTTGGTGTATTGCGTGTTGTACCCAGGTGTTTTGTAAGCTGTGGTGGCATGTGAACTCGGTGGCAGTGTCACTGGTGTCGTGAGAAGGGAGGCAGAACAAAGGTCAAGCTCAGTGCACCTTTTCTCTGCACAGTCCCGTTTTTACCAGTGCAACCTGCCTTCGGGAATTTTCATGACTTTCTGGCACAATTTATTGTAACATTTGTATTTTTCTTTGTAGTCAGCAGTTTACACTTCAATAATTATTACTTTGTATTTTTTATTATACCCTTGGCGTATAGGTTCCATTTCATTTTTATTATTTTTTCAGATAATTAGAAGCAGCTGTATATCTAACCATTGAAATAGCTTCTTATGCTAAATTTGAACAACTTGAAACCATAGCATAATTCTGATAATTAAGGTTGATGATAGAAGCTCAGAAAAAAAGATAAGAAGCTTAAAGTTTGGGGAGAGGATGAGGTTAAGGCTAATCTTAAGGAAGTAAGAAGAGAAAAATAAAAAGACCAGGAAGAGTGGTAACAATTTTTGAAATTATAGGAGATGGAGAAAAAAATCAAGATTTTTTTGGAGGGCAAAAAACCCTAAAACATTACTATTCCTGAAGTTAGTATTATACATACATTTCAAATATTTTACATTAAAAAATGTAGAGGATAAAAGAATTATAGGCTAATACCTTAATTTTTTAGCATTCCCAGTTATTGTATAGGAAGGAAGAAGTATATGTACTCCTAGTCTGATCATTCTGGGGCTATGTAGAGATTTTTGAAACAAAATCTCTGAACTTCCTTTAGGAGTTTGAAGGGTCTGTTGTTACTTATAAAACTATCATTCCCACTGGAAAATTTTGAATCTGATTTTTTAAGCCCAGCTTCCTTGGGAAAAGGTAGTGATTTATTCATTAAGTACAAAAATCTGAAACAATCATGTATGGACTTTCCTTTCCATAACCTTCCCTAATTTTTTCTAGTCAACCCAGGATTTCATTTTCACTAGGTGACAGGTTTGGTGATGGAAATAACACTTTTTTTTTTTTTTTTGCTTTTAGTTAGCTATATGTAACTGGGCCTGAATTGTTTCATATGGAAATGAAATGTTTGACTAAATTATCAGAAGAACCTTCTTTGATAGAATCACTCTTCCATGCTGGTATACAGTGTTTCCATGGCCAGAACTGTGGTCTTTCAAAAGCATACACAACTCTGTCCTTTCTCTCCCGTCGTCACAGTGATAAGAAGGAGAGTTCCTGAGAGAGGAGCAAAGTTCTGTTTCTGTATATTCTTACGTAGACGTGTCAGTTGTTGATCTCGGCCCCAGTGAAAGGGCATGGAAACAAGCCTACTGAGCCACACTCTTCCCAGGAAGTATTGCTGGATTTGAGTAATAATTATTCATTCACTTGATTTCAAACTCATCAATTTATACACCTGGTCTGTTCACATTGAAGCTGTAAGATTGTAACTAAATGGTTCTATCTGACTTGAATTATTTTTTTATTTCTGAAAAACGTTAAGGAGGAAAAAATAATCAAGGTAAACTGAGGGAAGAGACGAATCCTCAGAGCTACCTGTGGGATTCCACGATGTCTCTGGATCCTCAGTTTGAAAGTGGGCTCATGAACGTAGATAAAGGCAGCAGCTTGGAAGTTCTTCCAAATCAGTAATCGTAGTGTGGGGCCATTCTGTAAAGAGGAGCTGACTCTTCTGCTTTTCATTTCCCCTATTTCAGAAGTTTATTTTAGAAGAATGTTCATAGGAAGGGTAAAGAGAGTGTTCAATTTATATGCATTTTTTATGTAGATAGGTTGATCCTTGGGCTCTGACCTATGGGATTCCTTGCCTCTAAAAGTCAGCCCATTAAAATGATGGGTCAGAGTCACTCACTTCCTCTGAAGCTTTGCCAGCGGTAATACCAATAGTGAAGCTCTTCCCTTCTATGCGCAAATCAATAAACTCTGTCTGCACACATCTGAGTCTGGGGAACGGACGGAAGAGGCTCCCAGCTGTCAGGCAGGCGGGTCAGGAAGAAGGGAGGTCAGGAGACGAGAAAGCAGAGGACAGCCAGGGGCTGAGCGGGAGACAGAGCAGGCTGCTGTTAGGAAGTATAAACTACTCTCACGTTGGAACTTGTGGTATTTTGTGCCGATTCAGCAATTGAATGTATGGAATAAAAAAGTATTCTTTTCCCATAAATGATGTAGGTCACCTAATTTAAAGGATATTCAGGATGAGTATAAATTATAAAGAGAGTCATTCTTAAGGACTTTAAATAAATATATTAGCAATTTTACACATTAAAAACAATTTTATTTCCCACCAAATTTCAGTTACAGGGAGCATATTGATAATTATGAATAAAAGCACAAATAAATGCAAACCATTTAAGAGCAAGTCAGAACTAATGATGAACTGGTGGTTGTCCAATAAAATCTGAATGTTTTAATAGTAAATGTTTAACATGTAGAAAAGGAAAGGGGAGGAGACAGATGACAGTCAACAGGTGACTATCAATTACAAGTTCAGGTTCATAACATACACTGTCTTGGTGGGACCCTTCTGCTCAGGGCATTTAAGCAACTACCAAAAGGTCAGAATGACGAAAAACAGTGATTACGTATGAGATCGGAGCCAGATGAGATTGGAGAGGTATGGGGACCAGAAAATATATGGTTTTGTAGGCTATGGCCAGGAGTTCAGATTTCATTCTAGATGGGGTAGGCAGGGTTTCAGATAGGCGAACACTATTATATAACACTTATTTTTTAAAAATGTTTTTATGTGTTTTACTGATTTTTTTAGAGAGAAGGAAGGGAGAGAGAGATAGAAACATCAATGTGAGCTGCCTCCTGCACATCTCCTCTTGGGGTTCAAGCCCACAACCCGGGCATGTGCCCTGACCAGGAAGCAAACTGGGACCTCTCAGTTCCTGGGATGACAATTCACTGAGCCACACTAGCCAGGCTATTTTTTAAATAATTTAAAAATTTTACAGTTACAGCTGATATACACTATTATGTTAGTTTCAGATGTACAACATAGTGATTAGATATTGATATAACGTATGAAGGGATGGGATTGCATGTTAAAGGAACAGTAGTAACCGAATAGGAAACGTGACGTAAGCTCTTGCTGTACTCAAGGCATTTCCAGTGTGCAGGTTGGAGACACTCCACTGAGGAGAACTGTCAAGTGTTGTTTTTGAGAAAGACGACAGCCTTGTAACATCTGGCAAGGAAGCACTCCCAGAGAGACGTGATTAAAGTCCCCCCCCCAGAGGTCCTGAGGCACCAGAACGGAAGCCGGGGGCAGGTGTGGCAACTCTAACACGTCCCAGCAGCTGCAGCAGCTGAATGAGGGTGAAGGGCATAGTGTTTTTCTGCCTTCTGTCTCCCATTGATCGAATGGATAAGAATGTGTTGGCGAAAACTTGCTTTCTCCCTTTTGGGGTGGTTATTGGGAAGGGATTTTTGAGGACTTCGTTGAACTGTTTGCTGGAACATTTCATGGAGATACTGGGTCTTTTCTAGGGAACTTGGACATCCAGAACTCAATAAATTCATCTTCCTTTCCGTATTTAGTGTCTCTTTTGCTAGTTTCCGCTTTACCATAGTCCAGAATTACAATAAAGTCTTGAAGTGCCATTAGCAGTGATGTAAGTCCATGAAGATGCCAGATACCATGCTCACTAGGGATTTCTTGTGAGAGGGGCGGTTTCCCCTCTAAATGTAAAGGTGCCCGGGAGGTTGTCCACTTGTGGCGAGACTGGTGCAGGCAGGCCCGCGCACGATGAAGCTGCCACGCTCAGGAACGAGATGCTGCTCCAGGGCCTTCATTCACATTTGAAAAACACAGAGAACAGGATGCAGCTGGATTTCAGGTGTTTGTTGATGCTGTTGGCTTAGCCACATTCCCTTTCCTGGGTCTGTTTTGCAAGCCTGAATTTGAGCCTGAAGAATTTCTCCATCTAAGTGTCTTAAGCATTGCCCTGGCACATCCATCACAGGTTCGCTTTTGAATTACAGAGATAACCTGAAGATATGAGCCTTATGCCGGGCAACGCCGCACATGCACAGAAAGGGCGAGCCGCTTTCCTGATGGAATCAGGCCGAGCCCGCAGGGCAGGTGGTCGGCAGAAAGGATCGAGCTGATGAAAAAATGGATTCTTTTCCATTAAACTGTATGTGATGTGTTTTTCATGAAGCAGGTATCAGCTGAAAGAGAAACATTTTCTCAACTAAAAATAGATTGATGGTGAGGAAGAGGGAAAGTCTGGAAGGGATCAGGGCATAAATAGGTGTCTTATTGCATTAGCACTTCAACTTATGAGAAAGTGGAAACGCATTCCGTTGTAGTTATTTCAGATGTTTACTTGGACTTGGGGCTATGAAAACTTTTTCATGTTAATAATGGCTCTGTGTTTTTTTTTTAAGTGTATTTGTACTTCACACATCATTATTGCTTTCGTTCTAAAAGTTGTGCTGTTTATTTTCAGGTTTGCCAAAGATGCAGGTCATTAGGAACTATGCTGGGACGCCACCCCCTGCGCTTCACGAAGGACCCCCATTGCACATCCAGGCTGGGGACACCGTTGAACTTCTGCAGGGAGATGCACACAGTCTGTTTTGGCAGGTACGATCTAAATGCCAGGCTTGCAGATTTAGTGAGTGGCCTGTTACTGCTCTGTAACAAAGCTCTTGTCTTTAGAAACTGTATGCTTTCAACTTCAGAAGTTTTACATCATGTGGGGAAAAATATTTTTATTAACCTTCCTCATATTGAGGAAGTGCAATGAGCATTAGGACACCAAAGAAAAATAAAGTCAGTGTTGTGACTCATAATTACCGTTGTTTTAATTAAATACTCATATTTTGCAAGAGCATTTTTTTCTAAACCTAGGATCTGTGGGTCTGATCTAATCTGCATGACGTTCATGTATTAATGGTTCACTTAAGGGGAACTACCTAATTAGCTTGCCAGTGGCCATTTGTGGCCATATTTGATTTGCTCCTACCCACAGAATGACCCGAGGTTCTCAGAGGTGCTCTGGGCATCATCCGTGAAAAATATGAAATGTGAAAAGTAAGTGAGCATTTGATGTTTGCTGGTGGTGAAATCTCTGTTGCCCAGTAAACCCAGATTTGCTTCCAGGAGTTTCTTGACGGAGGAAAATGTGGCATAGTGTCAAGATGTGGTGGTAGAACATTGCTGCTCATTAAATTGTTCTCTATATTCATGTGTATTGTAGAAGTATTTCCCTACAAAGTTAAAGAGTTTGTTAAAAATCTGTAGCACACAAGTGAAATTTGGTTAGGGATAAAGAGATCGCAGAGGACTTGATAATCCTCTCGTGCAAATGTGTAAGTAATAGCTATTATGTCTGCCTAGAACCTTGATTGTCTCTTATCTTGTTACAGAAGAACACCTCTAGATTGAACATTTATCTCTGACTGCATTTCAGTTGCTGTAGCCAATGACTCTTTCAAAGCTCTCCCATTCTCCTTATACCTCATCTTTCCCCCAAAAAGAAAAAGAGAGAATGACAGCCTTAAATTCTACTAACTCACCCTGGCCAATTGGGCTCAGCGGTTGAGCATCGGCCTGCGGACCAGAGAATCCTGGGTTCGGTTCCCACTAGGGGCACGTACCACAAAAAAAAAAAAAATTCTACTAACTCTTCAGTCTACCCTTGTATCTCCCAGCCCAACCACAGAACATACCTACATTTGTGCCCATAGAGTCCTCTTATTTAAGACTTAGCTTTCTTCTCGGATTTTTCCATGCCATATACCATATGCCCTGGGTCCGTACATCTCAACTTCATTCTCTCCATTGACTCCTCTTCTATAGCATATAGATACGCTGAAGCTCCTCCCCTCTTAAACACATGTAGCTCAGCCTTTGGTCTGGTTATGTCTGCCTTCCGCTCCCATTCACAAAGCGAAGCTTCTTGGGAGAGCAGTCTCCACTATGTTCCATTCACACTGCAGTCTCCTGCAGAAACTATTCTGACTTGGATCACTAGTGCTGCTTTACGAAAACAGTTATGACATATATGATAAATTGTCCACATTTAAAGTGTACTATTTGATGTTTTGACAAATGCAGGTACAAGTGAAATCATCACTACAACAAGATGACAAAGTCAGCCCCCAAAGTTTTTATATGTCCTGATATCCCTGCCTATTGCCCCTCCCCAACTCTCAGGAAATCCCTGTTCTGCTTTTACCTATAGAAGAGTTTACATTTTTTAGAATTTTGTATAGTACATCATAAGTATGTTGTTTTTTTGGTATGGCTTCTTTTACTCAACATAATTATCTTGAGATTTAACCATGTTACTGTGTGTAACAGTAGTTCTTATTCTTTTGAAACCATTCTATTGAGGGCTGATTGACATAGAACAAGCTATTGACATAGAACATACATGATGTGTGTAACTTGATGAGGTTGGAGATAAGTACACATCCTCGGAACCATCACCACAATCTTTGCCAAGCGTCCATCACCTTCACAGCTTTCCGCCCGCCCTCTTCATTGATTTATTTTTGGTGGGTGTGATGAGAATGCTTACCGTAAAATTTGCAGTCCTAGCAAACTTGTGAGTGTCTCATACAGTATTGGTAACTATAGACTCTGCTGTGCAGGGGGTCTCAAGGACCTGCTCATCTTAGGAGATCTGGAACTTGGTGTTCTCTGGCTAATGCCTCCTGTTTTCCTCCTTCTCCAGCTCCTGGCAACCCCTGTTCTGTTCTCTCTTTCTCTGAGTTTGACTATTTTAGATTCCTCGTAGAAGTATAGCCAAGACATGCAAGAAACCTAATAGACAAATAGAAAGACAATGTGGTGTATATACAGTGAAATATTATTCAGACTTATAAAAGAAGGAAGTCCTGCCATTTGCAAAAACATGGAAGAACCTGAAGGACGTTATTCTAAGTGAACTAAGAGCCTTCTTTTTATTACTGATTATTATTCTGCATATGGATATAGCACAATTTATTTATTTATTAGCTGTTGATGGACTTTCCAGTTACTACCAGTTTGGGGCTATTGCAAATAAAGCTTCACATGATCATTCAAGTAGACATCTTTGTATGGACACATGCTTTCATTTTGCTTAGGTAAATACTGAAAGGTGGATCATATGTAGATAAATGTTTTTTTTTTTGAGAGAGAGAACTGAACTATTTTTCTAAGTGATTTCACTATGTTACATTTCTACCAGGTGTATGTGACAGTTCTTGGTGCTCCTTACCCTTGTCAACATTGAGTATGGTCAGTCATTTTAATTTTATTCTAACAGGTGTATGGTGGTGTCTCATTGTAATTTTGATTTGCGTTTCCCTAATGACTAATGATATCAAGCATCTCTTTATATGCTTATTTACTATCCATGTGCTGTCACTCTAGATTCTGCAGAATTTTTATATAGACAATCGTGTTATCAATGAACAAACACAGTTTACTTCTCTCTTGTAATTGGGTTGCCTTCAATGTCTTTTTGTGGCCTTGTGACAGTGGCTAGAACCTCCAGTAAATTGTTGAAATAGAAGTGATAAAAAAAATAAAATAAAATAAAAAAGCATATTCTTGCTTTATTCCTGATTTTAGAGAGAAAGCATAAAGTCCTTTACCATTAGATATGATATTATCTATAGGTTTTTTGCTGTTAATCCTCACCTGATGATATTTTTCCATTGATTTTTAGATAGAATGGAAGGGGGGTGGGGGGAGATGTGAGAGAGACACATTGATTGGTTGCCTCCCTGATGATCCCAACTGGGAACAGGGACTGAACCTGCAACCCAGGTATGTGCCCTTGACTGGGAATTGAACCCTCAACCCATTGGTATGAGGGCTGATGCTCTAACCACTGAGCAAAAGTGGCCAGGGCTGTTATCTATAGTTTTTTATAAAAGCTTTTTACAAAGTTGAGGACATTCTAGATTGCTGAGAGTTTTGATCAGGAATGTGTGTTGGATTTTGTCAACTGTTCTTTCTGCACTAAATTAAATTATTTCCTTTTTAGTTTGTCAATATGGTGAATTATGTTGATTGATTTTCAGTTGTTAAAACAATCTTTCTTTCCTGAGATAAATCCCAATTGGTAATGAGATATTGTCCTTTCTGTATATTTTCATTTTATTTTCTTGTAATGTCTTTGTCTGGGTTTGGTAATAGTTTAATACTCAAAGAATGAATTGGGCATTATTTCCTTCTCTTACATTTTCTGAAAGAGTTTTTATAGCATCAGCATTATTTTTTCCTGAGGTGTTCTGTAGAATTTACCAGGGAGGTTGTCTGCCTGGAGTTATCTTTGTAGGAAGAGTTCTTTTTAATTACAAATTCAACTTCTTTAATAAATATGTAGGTCTCCAGGCTATTATTTCTTTTTGAGTGAGCTTTGGTAGTTTGTGTATAGAATATCTGTGGAGGTGTTCTCTCTCCCAATTCTCACATTTGTAATTTGTGTCTTCTCTCTCTCTCTCTCTTTTTTCTCTGGTTAATCTAACTAGATGGTTATGCATTTTACCGATCTCATAGAACTAGCTTTTAGTTACATTGGTTTTCTCATTTTTCTGTTTCCTAATTTATGGATTTCTGCTCTGGTCTGGTTATTCTTTCCTTCTCCCTATTTTGGGTTTAATTTGCTCTTATTTTTCTAGTTTCTTAAGGTAGACCTTTTGCTCATTGATTTGAGAACTTCCTTTTTCTAAGAGACAGTGCTATAAATGTCTAAGTACTACTTTTGCTGCCTCCTCAAATTTTGTTATATTGTTTTCATTTTCAGTCAATTCAAAATACGTTCTAATTCTTTTTCTTCTTATGGGTTATTTGGAACAGCATGACTTAGTTTCCAAATATTTAGGGATTATACAGATATATTTCTGTTTTTCATTTTTCATTTAATTTTGCATCATAAGAGAAACGGAGGAATTGTTTGTGGACCAGGTTATGGTCTATCTTGATGAGTGTTCTGTGTGCACCTGAAAAGAATGTGTATTCCACTTTCTTGGGGTGGGCTGTTTTATTAATGCCAATTAAATAAAAGTAATTGATAGTGTTGGCTAACTGTCACATATTCTATCGATTGGGGACATAATTATTCCATCTACCCACTGTCCTGCACTCGTCTGAACTCTGTGTGTTCTCTGCCCTTCTGCTCCCCTGCCCTCTCCACATTGCTTCAGTCTCTACATGCTCCTCACTTGACCTTGCAAACCACACTATGTGCACTTCTTCCTCTTCATGTCTGCTGTCCCTGCCTGGTTTTCACTCCGGTCAATGATTGCATGACCTCTGAGATCACCTTCTAACTGACCTTCCCATCAGAATGTTCCACCCTGGTTCCCTTCATACCACTGCCAAGTTCAGATGCCGTTCCTAATGCTTGTTCAAGTCCTTCAGTGTCTTCCTTCTGACTGAACAGAAGTCACATTTTTAGCCTGATTAGAGGAGGTGTTGTGAAGCAGAGGATCGAGTCACAGTCCCTGCCGACTTCTCCGACGTCATCTGTTGCTGTTCGCCCACCTGCTCTGCTCTTCGTCACTCCCGTGCACCCCCACCTCCTCTGCACAGCTCACCTGGTGCTACTCTGCAGCTGTTTCGGTTCCTGGCCTATCTACCTT